TCTTCCTTCATGGCCAAAGCTTTTATACTTTTTGAATGACACCACTTCCATTTTCCCTTCCCTCAGGCCCTAGCAATGACTACTACATTCTCTTCTATGATTTAATGATTTAGGTTCTGCATATAAGTTATATATGAACTACACTTCTTTTTCCATCTTGCTTTGCTTACCATGATGCTCTCTACCATCAAAAATGACTGATTTCAGTTCTTTAAAAATACGTTGTGGTTTTGAGGAGTGTCAAATGGATTTTTACTTGTCTGTCTGTGTACCATGTTGTGCAGGTGCATGTGAAGCAGAAAAAGGGATTGAATCCCCTGGCACTGGAGTTACAAGTGGTTGTGAGCCACCTGATGTGGTTGTTGGGAACCAAACTTGGGCCCTCTGCAAGGAAAGCAAGTGCTCTTAACCACGGAGCCATCTCTTCAGCCCCCCAGATTTAGTTTTTTTTAAGGCTGAATAATACTCCTTTGTGTGAGTGTGTGCTTACACATATGATGTATTCTTTATCCTTTTATCACTTGAAAGACATTAAGGGAGTTTCCCCTGCTGGTGTACAGGAGCACAGATGCCGCTCTGTGACAAGTATCTCATTTCCTCTGGAGTAGGATTTTCTCTCTGAAGCAGAAACTTGTAGCAGCTGAATCTTAATTTTTTTGAGGATCCCCATACTGTTTTCCTCCCGTTGCTGTTTAATTAGATTCTTACCAGCAGTGGCTAAGGATTCCTTTCCTCTGCACCTTGCCAGCACTTACGTTGTCCTTGGTGATAACTGTCCTCCTTGGCAGGGTGATAGTCACTGCAGCTTTGATTTACATTTCTCTGGTGGATAGAGAGCTGGAGAACCTTTCAGTTCATTTTGTCTTCTGAGTGTGTTCTTTTCTGAAGCATCTGAGTGGTCTTTTGTTGTGTTGGATTATTTCTGTTTAGGGCATTGAATCCCTTGCTAGTTTTTAATTCCCTTTTTTATTAATGCCCTTTTCAGGTTTGATCATGTACCTTTAGCAACACCAAATGGAGACATCTTGATCCGAGATCTTAGTTTTGAAGTAAGTTTTCAAATGTTTATGTAAGGGTTAAAATTGTCTTCAAAATATAAACTGAAAGTTTGAATATTGAAATTAACTTTTAAGGTTTGAGTTGTCTCTGTCTGAACCCATACGATTACATTTGAAACCAACTCTGAACCATTTTGAAAACCCGGTTTTCCTAAAATTCACTGGGCTTTAAAACCTCAGGGATTACTACCGCATCAAATTTGTTTGGTTGGAAAGTTGGCCAGCGGTTAGAACTTAATCTCTCACAGGGGAACCAGCTTTTGTTCCCAGCACCCACGCGTCAGTGGGCAACTGACTGTAACTCCAGATCTAGGAGATCTGACATCTTCTTCTGGTCTCTGAAGGCTCCTGCACACATGTGGTACACGTGAACTTATGCAGGCATGCACGTACGAAAATGAAAAAATGATCTTTAAAAATTTTTTTGTAAATAAAACCCATGACAAAAAGATGCATAATTATGCAGGTGCAGGTGATGACTCAGCTGTAGCTTGTATTTAATTTTAACTAGCTTGGTTCAAATAGCCATGTGTGACACTATTGGACAGGCTTGCTCCAGAACACGCCTCTGTCTACCCATGGTGCTTATGTATTTATATGTGTTTAATGTAAAGATTGGTTTTTAGCTGCTTTCACTGAAATGTTTTCCAGTAGCTTATAAAATAGGAATACTGTTAGGTTTGTTTTTAAACTCTTACTATCTTAGGTAATTCTTTAGTTTTCTGCTCTTACTAATTTATATTTGCTAAATATATCTACTGTTCTAAGTAACTAAGAGAACTAGAGAATGTTAGTTATGCAAAGTGGGTATTGTATTGTTACCACACTTTAAAGCCAGGAACCATAACAGGACGTAGAAACTGGACTGTGGCTGGTAAATATTGACAGTCCTAGGATGAAAAGCACTTCTCTCAGTCACGGGGCGCTGCCTTATAAGGCAGCTGCTCCTCCTTCCTGCCAGCCAGCCCTGCGCTCCACCCAGACTGTCTGTGCTCACTGCTGCTTGCTTTTCTTTTAGTTTCATTGGCCAAGTCTTTCTGAGTCCCAAGTTTTCCCTGATTTGCCATAGGAAATCTCTCTCCCTCCATAGTCCCGTTCCTGACTCACCTGGTATTTGCCTTTGGTCCCTGTTTCTCTTTCATGGGAAACTGTCTGCTTCCTGTCCTCTTGGTCTGCTGTTAAGAATACCCTCTCTGCCTCTTTCTGACTTACCTCTCGGGTAGATTTGGCTTTTTCTTGTTTGTCTTCCCAGGGTTGTCCTTAACATGGAGTTTCTTTATGGAACAAGCATCCTTCAATTCTTTTTAATTTCCAGTAGTGTCCATGTGGCTCATTTTTGAAAATCGGGATTCCTTTCTTTCAGAAAGTCCTCATAAGTCTGACTCGGCCATCAGAAAGCACACATTTCCTACTTGCTTGCGTGTTGTGTTACACTACATCTAAACAAATGGGCTTTCTGTAGGCTAAGATTTTACCCTCATCCTTTATGAGCTCTCAGTACAGGCATAGTCTGTTCCTCTTTAAGCTGAATAGTGTTCACTGTGTGCACATACTGCGTTCTGTTTGCCCCTTCTGCTTGGGCCCTTTCCGCCTTTTGACTACTTTGAATACTACTGACGGCTGTCTGTTTTACCGCAGCAGGAGGCTTCGGTTGGCTTGGGCTGTGTTAGGATTGCTGACTAGACCCACTCTTCCTACTTCTTAACCTCTCTGACTTCTGCTGCTCTCTTTGCTGTCCTCCCCACAGAACCAGTCTTAGTCCTGTGAGGTGGCTCGTTCCTGTCCTCACGTCTGCTTGCTGGAAGTGGACAGGAGTGGTTTTCTCATGATAAGCTCTTAACACATCTCTGGAAGTTTTCCCAGTTGTCACTTGCAGTGAGGTGTACTTTGACCTCCGTGGCTTTTCTCCACGGTATTTAGTCTGTAGAATACAATTTTACTTATTATATACATATATATATATATATACACACACACACATATATATCTATATATTCTTGCTGACACAGAAGTTATGCACAGTGTTTTCTAAAAGAGCAAAAGAAAAGGTAATACATATCTAATTATTGGGGAATTTTTAGTAAAGTATAGTACATTCTTAGTATGTACTGTAGACATTAAAAGAATGGGCAGAAGTGTCATAAATACAGTGACCTGGAAGAATATTTGTGGCGTACTGTTAAGTAGATTTAGACCTCTTAAGTAAAAGAGTCTGCTCTGCAGTGCAGCTAAAAATGTTAATAAACATGAATATACAAAATGATTATTTTCAAGAATCCTCAATTTTTTTTAAGCTTTTAAATTTTGCATTCTAAGACTACATTGGACAGTCTAAATCAATAATGGTTTTTAAGTGAGAAAAAAAGGAAACTTAGTAGAAATTGAAAGTAAGCAGAAGTGAAAGGATTTTCCCTGCATCACTCCATGGTTGCGCTGACACCACCTTTACAGGTGAAGTTATTTGATAATAATTAGCAAAGGCCTTGTCAACTCTAAGGAAATATACATGCTCCCTTTAGTTAATTAGTTAATTCAAAGACTGAATTGTCTTTCAGGTTCGATCTGGAGCCAATGTTCTCATTTGTGGTCCAAATGGATGTGGAAAGAGTTCCCTCTTCCGTGTTCTTGGTGAAGTATGTTCAAACTGCCCTCCAGAGCTTGCGTCTTATTCTGTAGCACTCTTAGGTTACGAATTTCACAGTCTTCTCTTTGTGTTTATAGTTATGGCCTCTTTTTGGAGGGCGTCTTACTAAACCTGAGAGAGGAAAGTTATTTTATGTTCCTCAGGTAAGACTTTGAGCTATTTTATAACCTTTAAGATCTTTTGGTTTAATATTTAAAAATGTACTTCTAATGGCTCTTGCTGTGTCATTATGACTACTGACTAGCGACCCTATATGACCCTGGGAACACTGAGAGACCAAGTGATCTATCCAGACGGAAAAGAGGATCAGAAGAAGAAGGGGATATCTGACCAGGTAAGGGGTGATTACATCCTGCATTCACAGAGCATGCCCCACTCAGATTCTTCGTCATATTAAACGTCAGAGAGTGTGACCTAATCTGAAGCCTTCCAAACCATTGTCACAACTTTCCAGGCAGTGGCAAGAAGATAGCTGCTTTTTTTTTTTTTTTTTTTTTTTTTTTACAAGTTTTACACATGGTTGTGTGACATTGTTTCCTTCTTTAAGCTCTCAGACATTGTGTCAAGGGCAGTATGGCTAGAGACTGACAGCTCAGGTCAACTTTGTGCCATTTTTTTTTCTGAAGAGACCTAGCTTTCCAAGTGGTTGGCCATGGAATTTCTGAGCTAGTCTAAAAAATAAGGTAAGACAGGACAGCTTCTAATAATCAACTTCTAATTCTTTTTTGATCTTTTATCTTTGTATAAAGGTGCTGAAAGAGTACTTGGATAATGTGCAGTTAGGTCATATTCTTGAACGGGAAGGAGGCTGGGACAGTGTTCAGGACTGGATGGATGTACTCAGCGGAGGAGAGAAACAAAGGATGGCGGTCAGTATCCTCTGGACTGATACCAAATGTTTGCTTAGAGTCACTGTTAGAACCCGTAGTTTGACTAATCTTAGCACAAGGCTTTGTCTTCCTCAGCAACTAGTAAAGTATTAGTTTAAATTGTAATAAAAGCTCTAGGAAATGTTTAACTTCATATGAGTTTGGAATCTGAAAAATGTATTAGTAATGCTGTTGTTCTGTGAAAGGGGAAGCTGTAGATCATTTCTGTAGAAGTCAGGGAGGACACTGACTAGACATTGACCCTGTGAGGACGATGTTCGCTTTCATCTCCTCCAGACTGTTCTCGCTGAACAACTGGAAGGGAGCACTAGAAACATTAGTTTTTCATTCTGCCCTTTGTCCTTTTGTTTCTTCACTGTTACATACAACTTTGTTTCCCACTCACTAACCTACTCTAAAGTTATTTAGATTTTTAAAACTTTCCCAGTACAAAGAAGAATTGGAAAGACAATATTTAAAAAGTTATCTTGGAACAAACAGATTTCCCCCTACTTCCCAGCACCTATCTTCCAGTGTACCACCCTCCCGCCTTGTCTTCCAAGCCCCCAAAGAACAGTCCATTCAGCTCTGAGCAACGAATGGCTTTTCTAGCTCCAAGTTCCAAATACTTCCACTGTCCTTCCAAAAAACATGGTCAGGTCCACTGCAGCAAAACCCCACTGTACAATTTCTGCCCCGGTTTGCTTTTGGTTGTTATAAACACGTGACTGAAACCATTTGGAGAAGAAACTTTATTTTAGCTCACATGTTACACTTCAGTGTGTAGTGAAATCAGGGCAAGGACGCAGAAACCACAAAGGAAGGAGCCTCTTACTGCTCAAGGATGGCACAGCCCCAGTGAGCTGGGTCCGCCTACACCAGTTAGTGAGCTGGGTCCGCCTACACCAGTTAGTGAGCTGGGTCCGCCTACACCAGTTAGTGAGCTGGGTCCGCCTACACCAGTTAGTGAGCTGAGTCTGCCTACACCAGTTAGCAATCAAGAAAACAAGCTAGAGAGGTGGCTTAGTAGTTCGGAGTAGGCTTGATGCCTAGTACTCACATGACAGCTCACAACTCTCGGTGACTCCAGAGGTCTACATTATATGTCTTGCACATTTACTTTTTCAGACGGTCTTTCATTGCATTTGGAGTTCTTCAGTTGGCTAGGCTGACTAGCCAGTAAAGCCACAGGATGTTTTTCTGCTTTCCAGCGCTGGATTACAGGTGGATGGCACCATACCCAGCTTTTTTTTTTTTAACATGGGTGCTGGGGATTTGAACTCAGGTCCTCATGCTTGCATAACTGTCACTTTACCCACTGAGCCATCTTCCCAGTCCCAATCTTTAGTTTTCTTACATACTACTTTATCTCTCAGCAAAAGAACTCATTTTATACTTGGAAAAGAGAGCCTATTATTCAACTTATTTTTGATTGCTTAGTAGATGATAGTCAATATGCCAAGCAGATTATAAAGGCCAACACGTTATATTTTTAAAACAGCCCTATGAAGTAATTACTGAATATCCCAGTCACCTAGGAAACTGCACTTTAGTTGCCAGGCAGACAGTTGTGTTAGAACTGGTGAAATGTGGCTCACCACGCTCAGCTCAGGCAGTGTGATGGTTTGAATATTTGCTTTACAATTTCCTTGTTTTGTGGCGACATATAGTCGACAGCAGCATGGAAGGAGATAGACACACACGCACATACACGTGCGCATGATGAGAAAAGAGAAAGGCACTTGTGAAAGGCAGTTAATGAGCTGTATCTCTGTGATGGTGTCTGTTTGCTGCTTCCTGTTCCTCACTTCATGCTCATGGGTATAAATCCCAAAAAAGCAGTTTGCTTTAGTCATCTCCTTGATATGTATTTGAATGGAGCAGCAGTGTAAATGTTGGGTATATTGTAGTGGTTTAATCATGATTTCTACTTCAGTGTTTCTTCCAGCTCAGGCAAACACACAAAGAAAGATAAAATCAAGTGTGCCATATATAGACTGTTGCAGTTCCATAAAGCATCCACTTGGATTGAGAGAGTGACATTGAGCAGACACTTGAAAGATGCCTGGATGAGAGTCAGGCCTTGGTAGTTAAGAAAGACTAAGCTTGATGTGACAGCACAGGCATGGTCCCAGCATGCCAGAGACAGAGGCAGGAGGATTGCCATGAAGTTAGGCCAGCCTGGACTACATAGTGAGTTCTGACCCACCAGAGGCACAGAATAGGAGCCTCTATCAAACAGAGACAAATAACACAGCAACAGAAATGGACGGGAAGAAAGGAAAGAGTGACGTGCAGAGTCCAAGGCTTAGGACACCGTACTTAGGAGGAAAGAAGAGACAGGATAGCGACATGCGAAACTACAGACTTCTAACTCCTAGTGGCTGAACAACTGGGGAAAGACAGCCCTGGCTGGGATGTCCAGATCAGAGCTGTAGGAAGAAGACTCTTCAGGACCTTTGAGATGAGAGAGGGGAAGCCATGGAGAAGGTTTAGTCAGTGGGTTCTTTGATTTATATGTGATAGGTTCTCCCTAGTTTCACGGAGAGTGGAGGAAAGCAGAGAGGGAGCTGGCGGTTGTGTAATCCGGCAGAAGTGAGTGTTCTCGGGATAAGGGCATGGCAGAGACAGGCGAGTGGACTTTAAACTCTGGAAAGGAGACTGCCTGAGAGGGAGGATTAAGGCAGGGTCAGGAAGATTCAGCTTCTAGCTCTGAGGGAGAAGAAAGAGGATCTGGGATTTAATTTTGAGGACCCCAGATACATACACACGCTTAATGGCCAAGTGGTAAAGCCTGGAAGGAATGTGACAGCAGCAATAGGGGAGGACTCCCAGTGGCTTCACTCCTACTCTCAAGAAGGGAGTGGTCTGAGTAGAATGCTTCACAGGAGATAGTTGATTGGGCTTAGGATCATGTCGCTTGGTTTTGCAACATAGTGATCTCTTGGGGACAAGTGACAAATTAGAATAACTGTCCAAGACAAGGACAGACCATTTCCAGAAATATATTTGGAATGTAATTAAGGAAAAATGTTTCACATTCCTTCTAATGGAAGAAATATAAGGATTAGTGCTCCTGAGTCCATTTACAAGATCAGCAGAAGCTTTCAAAAACTGCACACCAGGGAGGCTGGAGAGATGGCTCAGAGGTTAAGAGCAGTGACTGCTGCTCTTCCAGAGGTCCTGAGTTCAATTCCCAGCAACTACATGGTGGCTCACAGCCATCTGTAATGAGGTCTGGTGCCCTCTTCTGGCCAGAAAGCATACAGACAAAACACTGTATACAAATAAATAAAATCTTTAAAAAAATAAATAAATAAAAATAAAAATAAAAAACTGTACACCTGGGCCCAACAACGGAGCCTTGGCAGGTGCTAAATAAAAGATGGTGGGAACTCTAGCAGGTGCCATTACTTAAATAACATCTAAGTCTAAGTCATCTATAATCTGAATTTTAAGGTTTTGTTAAAACACAAAACTTGTTTGTATAGAGAACTTTTATTATTTTAAAACTCAATCTCATTTCACACCAGTTTTTGTTTTTCTCTTAGCAGTAAATATTTCCCACACACTCTTTTTCTCCCTTTGTTTAAGATGACAGTGAGAACAATTCGTCTTATTTATATTATTTTTATCTCTAGAAGTGGTGCTTTTTTAGTTAGAATAATTTTCATTTTTAGTTTTTTAAGGCTCCAAAAAGTATATTTAGCTAAAGTAAATTTATTTTTCCTTATTAGTCTTATTTTTAGGCCTGCCTCTATTTACACAGACTGTTTCCTCTTCTGCTTTAGATGGCAAGATTGTTTTATCATAAACCCCAGTTTGCCATTCTGGATGAGTGCACAAGCGCAGTTAGTGTTGATGTGGAAGACTACATTTACAGCCACTGTCGGAAGGTAAGTGTCCTGCCACAGGTGCTTCACCGTGTCTCTGTGTGTCCTGTCCTACCGCAAGTCTATGCCAAAGGAGATTCCAAGCAATGAGATTGTTGCCAGAAGGTTGCCCTGTATTGTCTTTAAAATGGTCGCTAGTAGGTATGAACAGAGTATACAGAATTATCAATATATTCTCAATACAACTATAGATATGAACAGAATATAAGGAATTATCTTTGCATTCTAAGTATCTTTCTTTAGCAGTTTCTTAGACATGGAGAGTGTTCCAGTATATCTATATCCATCTTCGACTTCATTACTTACACTCAGACTTAACAAAAGAATTCGCGTCTTTCCTTTCCTGGCTCTTCTTAGAGTAGTTTAATTCATCTAATTTATTCTAACTGGACAGTATTTTACCAGATTTCTTTTGCTTGGCAAATATGAGGCTGGCTATGCTGCCATTATTTAAAATTGTTCACTAGTCCTGGTGAGTTTTTGCTTTTAGGAACTGCTGCAACCATCTGTACTCTTGTTAGATTGGAAAAATGATAATACGTTGTGTTTTAGAGGTCCTGTGTAAGTAAATGAGTTACAGGAGTATTTTAACCTTTTTAATCTGTATTTGGGGCATTTACAACAAATAAAATTAATCACGTTGAACATACACACACACACACACACACACACACACACATATTCTGGCCATTTGGAAGATAGCCATGTACCAGCAGCATTAGCACCCCTGGCTGGGAGTTAGTGAGAAGTCAGAATCTCTAGCTTTGCCAAGTAAAGCAGCACATTAACAAAATTCCCATACGAATGCATATGAAAGGCTGAAGCTGGTGTGATTATAAAAGGATCCTCCATAGGAAGGCTGGAACAGCTCTTTAGTGGCTTGCTTTTTATTTTTCAATCCCCTTTAGTAATTCTTATGTGGTTTTCTGTTTTCTAGGTATTAGAGATCTTTGTAGTGTTTTCATACTTAAGACCAGATATACTGTTTTTTTTTTAAAAAGGCATTTTTCTGACAATTTTATGTTGTTGCCTCCTATGTTTTAAGGTTGTCTAAGTCTATAAAACACACTGCATTTGAGGGAAGAAAAGTCACTTGGGTTCTATGATGATTTAACATTGCCACAATAGCACTGAATACAAAGAAGCAGAAAACAAGGGAATGAATCCTTAAGCTTAGAGCCTTTAAACCATTTGTTTGTGGATCTCGTATACGTGTGCGTGCCATGCTGCTCCTGGTACAGGTCAGAGGACAGTTGTGGGAGGCCGTTCTCCACCATGTCAAGCTAGGAAGTGTCTTTACCCACTAAGGCGTCTTACCAGCCTGAGAATTTTTTTCTAACTACAAAACCAGTGTTAATTTACAAAGGGAATAAAGCATCACTTAAGCTCAATATAGAATATTTAACATTAAAGAGAACAGTGATGCTGCTTAGCCAAAACTAAGCCATAAGCATGAATTTAATTATGGAAAGGTAGCATCTGGTGTTCAGATCTTAGCAATGAACATTGCTTTTGTGTTTTGGCTTAAGTAATTCTAATATACAGTATGCATATTCTAATTAAGGTCTAGTCCAATTGCAAAATCAGGAACAGAAAAATGTATCTAAATGGGCTTTTGGTGCAGTTGAAATGTATGTTTAGCAAAGCTGATAATGTTCTTATCTTCTTATTCAGGTCCTCACGAATTTGCACATGGCAGCCAAACTTAGGACACAGTTTAAGTGGTACCACTTGGTGCCAGCAGAATAATTTAGTCCTGAAGTTTTATGGTAGAAATTATCAGGAATTTACTTAGATTAATCTTAAAATTCCTACAAAATAAAAGTAAAATTAGGGTGTGGAGAAATGACTTAATGGTTAAGAGCACTTGCTGCTCTATATGAGGACCTGGACTCAGTTCCCAGCATCCACATGTGGCTTACACCCACCTATAACTCCAGTTCCAAATCACCCAAGCATGAGAGGTGTGTGTTGAGGATCTGACCTAAGGTAGTGCTTCTCACCCTCAGATATATTGTCTGGATAATTCCTAGGCTGTCTGTGCAGGGCCTGTCCTTGGCATTATACTGTTTAGCAACAATTCTGGTGTCTGTCCATCAGATGGCAGTATTGTTCTCAGTATACCAAGAAGAAAACCTTCAGTCATAACCAAAATGTTCACCAAAGAGAGAAGGCGCCTCTCAACTAAGAGCCATTGACCTCACTGATCTAGAACAATTGTATCTATTGATGCTTCTCTGAAAACCTGAAGTGCAGTTGGAATCCTGAAAGCTGGATCAAGACTGAACATTTTTTATAGTTTTATAGCAAGCTTATTGGATAGCAATAACTGATCCAAACTTACAAAAGATATTTAAACATTTTGTTTCAATTTTTCAGTATTTGTACATGTTACTTAGACACATGCAAAGTTCTGTCTTAGAACCTTGTGGAAGAAATGGAATAGTCAAACCAGAATGTGTCTGAACTCCCAAGACACATTCCAAAATAAGACTCTACAATAGGGAATTATGATCCTGCATTTAAAAGCAATTTGGCTATAGACCATTTATGCTATTTTGTCCCCATTTTAATCTTTTGCCTTTTGGGGGGCTGGGGAGTTAAGACAGGGTTTCTTTGTGTAGCCCTGGCTGTGCTGGAACTCACTCTGTAGACCAGGCTGGCCTCGAACTCACAGAGATCTGCTTATCTCTGCCTCCCAAGTGCTGGAATTAAAGTCGAGTACCACCACCGCCTGGCTACCTTTTGCTATTTTTTTTTTTTTTTTTGATTTTCGAGACAGGGTTTCTCCGTAGTTTTTGGTGCCTGTCCTGGAACTAGCTCTTGTAGACCAGGCTGGCCTCGAACTCACAGGGATCCACCTGGCTCTGCCTCCCGAGTGCTGGGATTAAAGGCGTGCGCCACCACCGCCCGGCACCTTTTGCTATTTTTATCTTACTGTTTTTCATAATAAATCAAATGTAGGGGGATGTATTTTGACATTCTTTACTGTAGCCGCTGTACATGGTATTCTAGCAACTTAAGTATGTAATTTGTGCCTTGCTGTTATTGATATCAATGTAAACCTTTTCTCTGAATTAGGTTGGCATCACGCTCTTTACTGTTTCACACAGAAAATCCCTGTGGAAACACCATGAGGTTTGTATTTCTTTTCTTTTGTGAGATGATGAATGTTTATCTTACATAAAATGTGAGTTTTGGTGACTGATTTTTGGATTTCATGGTGAATGTCACCATATAGGCGTATACCTTAAGGCAAAGGGTGATTTTGAGTTTTATAGTATACAGTAGGACTTTGTTCAGTATTATTGCCATCAGTTTTGAAGACTATAATGTAAATAAACTCTAGCTCTACTGAGATTAGAGAGCAGTTCTCTAGTGTTATAAGTGACTGGTGTGTAATAGCTATGGGTAAACGAGCTGTGTCATTATAACGCAAGTTTGACATAAGAAGAGAAAGTCTTAGGTGGCTGGGGCTAGAGAGATTGGTCAAGGGTTAAAGACACTGACTGATCTTCCAGAGAACCCAGTTTAATACCCAGCACCTACATGGCAGCTCACACCTGTCTGTGGCTACAGTATCAGGGAACCCGACACCCACGGCAAAAACTCCAGTGCACATAAAAGTAAATAAATAAATTAACTAGTTAATTTTAAAAGTTAGATGGCAAAATTTTAGGAACATTTTCAGTAAAGATCAGGACTATATGGGAAAGATGGCATAATGCCAACTGTGTTTGAAATGTAATAAAATAGGATCTGTATACAGTCACGGTAATTTACAAAGATACTGTGTTGAGGTTTGCATTGATACAAAACTGCTGTATATTCTGGGGAGTGTCTATAAGGTCGGTGGGGTGGTGTTGAGAACAGTTCTTTCCCTGCCCTCCACTTCTCTAATCTCTCCTCTTCTTTCTCTTTCCCTTCCTGGAAATCTAGCCTCCCTGGGATCTAGCCCTAGGCCTTGTATTTGTTAGGCAAGATCTGTGATCATGTGAAGGAGGGGAACACAAAGAGCAGCTAAGAAATAGCAATACAGAAAAATAAACAGAAAAAACTAATCTTTATGTATAAAAGTTCACTAGCTGAAAATAGGAGGCTTGTTCTGTGTCTCAGAAGGCACATGAATAATTCTTTAGTTTCTGCTGAATCTAAGCAAAGACTTTGAAGTGGAGATTGGTGAGCTGCAGTCCTGAACTGTGGAAGCATCCTCATTTATGGGCTGCCTGTGCATTGGCTAAGAAGGGGACAAGCACTCCTGTTCTTAGTTACTGACGCTCCCATCTCTCCCATAGTACTACCTGCATATGGACGGTAGAGGCAATTATGAATTCAAGAAGATCACAGAAGATACAGTTGAGTTCGGATCCTAGAGACCATCTCGAGAACTTCCCCTGCTTCCATGAAACAAGAATGCATTTGTTAATGCACAGTGCATTGTAAAATAAGGTTAAGCTTGTTTTTTTTTTCAAAAAACAAAGCAACAAATTGACTAGATACAGGATAATTGAAATGTTAAAACACTTAATATTGTATAGGATATTGCTAATTGTGTATATGTTGGTTTAATTATTAATTATGTACTAAGAATGTCCTTATTCTTGTGGTTAAAAAACCTGCCTGAATTAAATTGGGCTTAAATCAGTGTGACCTGATTCATCCTGGGATGTAAACCATTTAAAGTCAACTAATTTGACTTTTATGGCTCTATCATTTCTTTTAATGAAGAACCCTATTTAAAACGGGGGTCATTAGCTGTTCTATTCTAACAAAGTAGTCTTGAGTTTTATTTCTATATGCCCCATGGTAATGGGAACCAGCCAATCACAATGTATTATTAAACTATACCATCGGTACAGGATAGCATTTATTACACAGTGGCAGATTTCTTTAGCTGCTGCATTTATACTCATTCCTCATACATGCTTTGAGGTGCATTTGACTCCAAGAGAGCCGTTTGGGTTTTCTTTAGCTAACTACTAAATGTACCCCCTCTCAGTGTCTTGGACTGAGTTGTTCTGGAGGTTCTTTGTGGTGGTGTGCAACAGTGTGTGCAGTTGTGCTTACGGCTTGTGGTTACTACACGCTACACCCAGTCTTTTCAACGTGTGGGACGTCCCGGCGTGATCGCCCTGTGTCGAGCTCCAGGTCTTACCAGGATTTTAGATATTTGTGCAGAGGACTGGACAAGTTCATCAGGAATGTGGGTGCGTAATGGTGAACGCCGTGTGGCTGTAGAGGCCCTACAGGAAGTCCGCACGCTGAGCACGCAGTGCACGCAGTGCTAGTGCTGTCCTCATCTGCGGTTTTATGTTCCTAGAAATGCTAAACATTATCATGCACATGGGTGAATGACATTTCAGGAACTGTCTGGCTCCTGAACAACTGCATTTGCATCGGGATTACTGTGTTGAGAAATCATCTCTGGCTCCAAGCACCATTAATGACTACATGTGTTGTGTGCATGAAGGAGAGCCAAGACTGAACGGGATCAATAAGTGGTTGTGAAATTAGTTTTATCAAATGGGTTCAGAAAGGGGCAGTTGATAGTCTTTTTTCTGCATAACTCAGAATCACTGGCTACCGAAATAACCTTGATGTGTTGATTCCATCAATACATCACATTCAATTTCTCCGTGTCTCCTCAGCAAACTTGTATACTTATTTTCTGTTCAGATTAAAAAAAAATTGGATAAAATACACAACTTTTGCTTGTCCTTTTTTATTCTAGTGCTTGAATGCTGACATTCAGAAAGTGTTTTTAGCACCCGGATGGCCTTTTTAGAAAACCTTATTAAATGAGCTTTAATTTTTTTTTTGTTTTATAGTTTTAGACAGCAAAAAGAAAAAAGAAAAAACAATGGGCAACTGAGCCATTTGCGAGGAAAACTAATAAGAAATGAAGACATGTCCTCCCAGACCCACATCCAAACCCCATTTGAGCATGACTAATCAGTCTTAATAGACATATACATCTAGAAAATACAGAATTTTTGCAATCCTGAAACACATGTAAAATCCTATTACTTAGGACTTTCCTTTCTGCCCAGTAGTGTTTCATGGCTTTCTGTGTTTTCCACCTCCTTAATTAGTCTGATTCCTAAGTATTTAATACTTATTGATTATCCTATCAATTATACATAACATTTTTTATTGATATTTTTAGCGTGCAAAATAGTGGGTTTCATTATGACATTTTCACACAGTCATGTCATTGTCCTTTGCTCGTCTTCGCCCCCATTACACTTCTCACCCAGCTCCTCTCTCAGTGGTGTTCCTTCTCTCAGATATCCCCTTCTGTCTGCCTCCCTTCCCCCTTTCTCCTTCCCTCCCTCTCTCCCTTCTTCCCTTGCTTCCTATCCATCCTCAATTACATGTATGAAAATATAATTGTCTTCCTGAGTCTGACATTCACTGATCACGGCAATTTCCAGTTCCATCTATTTTCCTGAGAATGACATAATTTCATTCCTTATTGCTGAATAGGACTCCATTGCATATATAAATTGCACATTTTCTACATTTTCTATTGATTAGCATCTCGACTTAGGTATCTTGGCTATTAACACTTCACTTTTTCATTTTTGCCATGATAAAAAGCGCAGCTGATCTTTGTACATTGGCCTTACTGGTAAGTTGCATTTCCCCATCCCATCTGCTGTTTATCACAGTGTGGTGTCAGCATCATCCACGGAAAGGTGAGTCCATGATACCTCTTGAACTTGTAGAGCTTATTGTGATAAATTTGGAGATTTGGGTACTGATGCAGAAAGAGACTAGGTCAGGGGGGGCTTGACATACAAGTTTTATCTTGATAGTGTGTAGATAGGTTTGCACAAGAAGATGGTACTATCTGTTGGAGATAAGAGAATTTGGATTTGATCCAGCAAGCTAGTGGTGCTAGCCCACTGTGGCGGAATAGACTATGTAGGGCCATCCCTGGCCCGCTCATTCACTTGACTGAGTAGTTCTCTTGTATCGGCGAATCAATCCCACACCAGTTATGTTTTAAGGGGTTATTTATTTTGGGGGGTAAAACTTACATACACCATAAACCGTCAGGAAGGGAGCCTAGTCGCTGGAGCAGGAGCCAGGAGCAGGAGCCAGGAGCAGGAGCCGGGAGCAGGAACCAAGAGGGCCTGATCCGGATCTGCTTCTCTTTTTAAAAGAGAAATATACCACGCCCCAGTGGGCTGGTATTTCAGCAGCTATTGGCTGACGGAGCGGAAGTCGCTCCCTGCTGCACTGTGGGCTCGTATTTTAGCGACTATTGGTTGAGGCAGTGGAAGTTACTCCCACAACACTCTTGGAGTGGATAAACCCTTTACTGGTCTTTAAACAATCCTGCGGGGCATGCAGAGTCAGAGCACAGTGTTTCTTGCTGACCTCCCTCTGGAATCGGGTCCCACCATTATTGTTAGCCTTGTCAGCCGTCATTACAGCAGGGAATAAATAAATCTTTATTACTGCACCAGCTGTGTTTATGTCAAGTTGTCCCAAGCTCGAGTCCTCTGAGAGGAGGGAACCTCAGCTGAGAAAGTACCTCCTTAAGATCAGGCAGCAGGCAAGCCTGTGGGGCATTTTCTTGATTAGTGATTAATGTTGGAGGGCCCAGTCCGTTGTGGGAAGAGGCTGATGGTTCTGGGTTCTATATGAAAGCAGGCCAAAAAGCAGTACCCCTCTATGCGCCCTCATCAACTCCTGCCTCCAGGTTCCTGCCCTGTTTGAGTTCCTACCCTGACTGCCTTCAAGGACTACGATGTGGAAGTATAAACTACTTTCCTCCCCAACTTGCTTTTGGTCATGGTGTTTCATCACAACAATAGTAACTATAACTAAGAATTAACCAGTTGTCAGCCAGCCCAGGGGTGGTACATGCCTTTAATCCTAGTAAAGCAGAGGCAGGCGGATCTCTGTGAGTTTGAGGATAGCCTGGTCTACAAGAGCTAACTCCATGACAGGATCCAAAGCTACAGAGAAATCCTGTCCTGAAAAAACAAAAAAACAAAATGAAAAACAAAAGAAAGAAAAAGGAACTAACCAGTTGTCTGACATATCTGTGGCCCTCTGGGAATGCTCGTTCAGGCTGCCCAGACTCCTGCACTCCAGGCTGCTGGTGCTGTAAGCCAAGCTCCTAAAGTTCCATATCCTCTGTTTTCCTCTCTTTTTGATTTATTCTCTCACTTAGCAGAGCGTGCCCCTACCTACAGTGGCTTCTGGGAAGGGTGCAGGGAGGGAGAGGTTTCGTATTCCATTATACTTGTGAAAAGTCCAGCTCGGATAAATTCAGTAAGAATCAAATTTAAGCCAGGCAGTGGTGGCACACACATTTAATCCCAGCTCTCGGGAGGCAGAGGCAGGTGGATCTCTGTGAGTTCAAGGCCAGCCTGGTCTACAGAGTGAGTTCCAGGACAGCCAAGGCTACACAGAGAAACCCTATCTCAAAAATTAAAAAAAGTAGTGTGTATGTGTGTGCACACAAGGTGTGTGTGGGGTGGCACATGCATGTTAGGTCAACCTTGGATATCATTCCTCAAGAGCTGTTCACATTACTTTTTAAAATTGTAATGCATTTATGTGTGTGTCCTTATGTGTGTACAACATGTGTGTTGGGAGCCAGAAGACAGCCTTGGGTCATCCCCAGCCAAGCTGTTCACTGCCCTTGAGACAGGATCTCTCGTTGGATTGAACCCCACTGATTAAACTAGATTCACTGGCTGGCAAACTACAGGAATCCTCCTGTCTCTGCCTCCCCAGTGTGGGATTCTGTGTGTGCACTGTCCTGCCAGTTTTTTAATGTGAGTTTTAGGGATTCAACTCACTTCGCTGACTGAGCCATACACCCATCCCCTCACCTGGTTATGTATTCCTGTGGGGTTTTTAGTTTTTGTTATTGTTTTTCAGACCAGGTCTCTTGCTGGAACCTGAAACTCATCAATAGGCCTAGACTGTCTAGCCAATGATTCCCCAGGTATCCTCCTCCATCAGCCCTGCTGGTGCTGGGATTGACAGCTATATGCCTCACACCCAGCAGGTTACTTTTATTTTGGATATCAAACTCAGATCCTCATGCTTGTATAGGAAGCATTTTACCCACGGAGCCTTTCCCCGGTCCCCTTCACTTAAACATGTGTGTGCATGTTCCACCTTTGTGCAGGTGCCTGTGGAGACCAGTCGAGGGCATTGGATGCCTTAGGACTGAAGTCAGCAGGTGGTTGTGAGCCACCTGATGTAGAATAAATACTCTTAACTGCTGAACCCTGTCTTATAGTGTGATACTTTACTCTTGGCTTTTGGTGGGCCTACCACTCAAGCTCCCAAATAAATCACACAGAGGCTTATTATTACTTATAAATGCCCAGCCTTAGCTTGACTTGTCTCTTGACAGCTTTTCTTAACATATCCTGACTACCGTTTGCTTCTGGGCTGTTTCCTTTCCTTACTTCTGTATTTCTTACTTTCACTTCCTCCGAGGCTGGCTAGGTGCCTGGCTGGCTGACTCCCAGAGTCCCCCTCCCCATGTTCTCCCTTTGCTCCTCCTCTTACTCCTTTTCTCCTGTTTCTCCTCTCTGCCCGCCAGCCCTGCCTGTCCTTGCTCCTGCCTTGACGTTGGTGGTTCAGCGCTTTATTAGACCATCAGGTGTTTTAGACAAAGTAACACAGCTTCACAGAATTAAAATAAAACTGCAGCATAAACAAAAGCAACACATCTTAAAATAATATTCCCCAATAATCTCTCCAGCCTGTCCTTTAAATTTTGTGGTCATTGTTGTCCTGAGTTTGCTGTTAAGAAGAGCCAATGTTCTAATTTCTTTGAATGCTGCATTACTACTGCTTTTTCTCATCCTTTCTCTGTCCCCACTTCTGTGCTTCCCCTCCTCACTCCAAGAATGTTCTCTTCTCCATCTGGCAAGTCTTGGTGTCTTAACCTCCTGTTAGTGCTATGGTAGAAATTGTTCTCTCTTTCTTACATGCATGCTATGGATAAATATTCCCTCTCCCTCCCTGTTTGCCCTGTAGATTTAATCTTTTTTAATATTGCTTTGAATCCTTTTTGTAGGGTCTTGGAGGGAAGAAAAGCACTTTTAGCTGGAAGTACCTGTCAGTTTTTATATTCATATTTTTTTATAAATTGGTGCTTATAGCTTTAGAACTTAGTATATTTTAGAAAAGTCAAAATATAGGGCCATGATTCTGGACTGTCCTTTAGGGCATCATAGACTTGGGATACTCATGTAGTTTCTTATACAGAACTGCCTGCTCTGGGATCTCATGTGGTCATTGTGGTCCTCTTCCTAAAAAAAAATCAACGGTCATCCTAAATTTTAATTTTCTTAAATTACTTAAATTTTCCCCAATTTTGTTACTTGTTTGCCATTTTTTTTTTTGACTTATTAGTTGGCCCCACGCGGTTTTTTAGCTGGAGCCACGTAGGTAGTGTCTGATTAGGAATGTGTGAAGTAACAGAGAAGCTCAGATTTGATGAGACGTGTTTACATGAGTATTATCTGTGCCTGCAGGGCTGTTTGGATGCTTCAGCTCAGGCGATACTGCTTCCCTTTCTCCTGGTGGACTCTGTCTTCAAAATGAGCTATTATAACACTCACAAGTTCAAGCTAAATAGTTCTCGTGAACTCCTTTGCTCTGTCCATCATAACATTCACAGACTATTATAAGGGCTTGACATTTTACCCTACACG